ATTGAGCCTCAATCCATATTGTAGGCTGCAGTCCTTGACCCTCTGCAGCAAGCACTTCAAGTCCTCCTCAGTTTCAGCAAGCAGGCTTGTGTCATCTGCATAACGCAGATAATAGATATTCTACCAATCCTGACGCCACACTTCTCCTCATAGAGCCCAGCCTCTCAGATAATCTGTTCGGCATAAAGGTTGAGAAGGTATGGAGATAGGACATATCCCTGGCATACACCCTTCCCAATTTTGAACCATGCAGTGTTTCCTTGCTCTGTTCTGACAACTACCTCTTGGTCCAAGTATAGGTTTCGCATTAGTATCATCAAGTGTTCTGGGATTCCCATTCTTCTCAGAGTCAGCCACAGTTTGTTATGATCCACATAGTCAAACATCCTTGCATAATCAATGACACACAGTTAGACATTCTTCTGGTACTCCCTGCTTTCAGCTAAGATCCATCTAACATAAGCTACAACCACCCTAGTATCATGACCCCTTCCAAACCCAGCCTGGACTTCTGGCAGTTCTCTGATGATGTGCTGTTCCAGTTGTTTTTGAGTAATCTTCAGTAGAATCTTGCTTGCATTGAAATCAATGATATAGTTCTGTAGTTTCCATACTCTGTTCGATCACCCTTCTTTGGAATGGGAACAAATATAGATGTCTTCTAGTCAGTTGGCCAAGTGGTTGTTCTCCAGATTTCTTGGCACAACTTGGTGAGCACATTCAGGGCAGCATCCGTTAGCTGAAATACGTCAATTGGTATACCATCTATTGCTGGGGCTTTATTTAATTTGTTATTTCCTTCAAAGCAGCTTGAACTTCTTCGTTTCATTAAAAACATATGGGGGGGGGGGGTGAGGAACCCACTAAAAACACCACCTAAGCTGTTTGAAAACTGTACTATAAATAAACTTAATTTCTCTGAAATAATAAACTTTTTTTTTAAATTAAGCAAAACAAGTAAAAAAAAGGTTTATTAAAGTAATGCAAAATAGGCATGGTGGGTAAAGGACAAGATGTATGGAAGAGTTAAAGAGAAACGTAAAAGGGGGGACCACCCCTGAAAGATCAAGGGTGGACCTAAAACTTAGGGCATGCTGCCAGGAGAGCTGAAGTGACAAACTTTACAACAAGTGAACTTGTGAAAGTGAAAATGCAAGCTGTCTTTGACACTCACCTTGTAACCGTACCACAATAGGTATTTTAATTTCCAAGTCTTTGACTGCCATAACTATACCCTGCGCAATAACATCACATCGCATGATCCCTCCAAAAATGTTGACCAGGATAGCCTGTACCTGTCAAAAAAGAGCTTCTGATAGATTAAAGTTGAAGGAGAATGATTATTATTTTTCTTTTGCAACAAATCCTAGCATTTGTGCATCAAGATAAAATTAATTGCACAGCAACATTATCACAGCATATGTGATCGCTCTGGCTCTCACTACTGATGTCTGTACAGTCTGCCTACCTGAGTAATTCCAACATCTGGCTCATAATCTCCTCTATGCTTATCTGTACCAACAAGGTCTCTAGAATTTCCTTCATTTGTTTCCTATTTTTAAAAAAATCAAATGAATTTCTAACATGACTACCTTAGATCAGATTCTAAGTGTCACATGCAATCCCTTTAGTGTTTAATTCACTATGATCTCCACATTATTCCCATCACAAAGCTTTTCTTTCACAAAGCAAATCTTCTAAATCATCCAATTTCTCCTATATATCCACTTCCGGTTATACTTCAATCCAAACCTCAGGGTCCTCTTAGGGTACCACCACACTGACAGTTCTGAATCATCATTCTATCCTTTAAAAAAAAAAAATAACAACTATGAGATATCATCTCACCCCAGTAAGAATAGCAAAATTTAACAGGCAGCAAACATCAAAGGCTGGTGAGGCTGTGGAGAAACCGGAACCCTTATTCACTGTTGGTGGGAGTGTAAACTGATGCTTTCTCAAAAAGTTGAAAATTAAAATACCATTTGACACAGCAATTCCACTACTGGGAATTTACCCTAAAGAAATCTCAACCGTCATCCAAGCAGATATATGCACACGCATGTTTATTGCAGCTTTGTTCGCAATAGCAAAGAGTTTTAACAACCCATGTGCCCATCAACAAATGAATGGTATCAGAGAAGCTCTGGTATATTCATACAATGGAATATTATGTAGCATTGAAAAACAAGGAACTCATGAAATATTATGCTAAATGGATGACTCTGGAAGACATTATGCTGAGTGAAATATCTCAGTCACAAAAGGACAAATATGGCATAGGGCCACTGTTGTAAAACGGGACTGACATCAGGGTTGAGGGAAGGCAGAGAAGAAGGTGAGAAATGATGTATACTGCATTGAAACAGATGAGGGAGAAAACTGTTTAAAAGGGATATATGATTGGGTATTATTTTCATGACAGGAGTCCAGAATGAAGGCTGCACAGTGGAGTGGACTTGGGGGGAGGGATTGCTTCACAATGAAAGTTTTTCTTTTACTTTTCAAGGAGAAGAGTGAATGGGGGGAAGGGGGAAATAGGGAGAAAAGTTCAACAACAAATGACTGGAAACCCTAAGTCTCTGTAAACTTTCATTAAAACTAATAAAAGAAAAATATATAAGAGACAATTCATTTGGCTACAAGAGAGCTTGCGATCCAGTAAGATACAAATGAGTTATAGACTCACCAAGACACTGTTCTCCCAAACTCAAAGGGAAGCTAGGAAGGCTTGGGGAAAACTGAAGCCCTTAGATTCAGTATACAAACAACTTTCTCAATCTACCTCCAATAATGCCCTTTTCAAATGTCATTGTCTGTGAATGGCATGAAAGGGTTGAGCTGCACTCCTTTGTTTGCTAACAATCTACAACTCATAAATCCCATTCTCTGTTCAATCTCCTCTCCTTTCACTTTAACTTTTTTTGCCCCTAACACTGCCTTACTCAAGCTATGTCCCTAAAAGGCTTTTCATTCCTCCACCCCTTTATAATCCTCCAAATCTATTCGTTTCCAGTTGATCTGACATTCATTATGGAGTTTGGAAGTCACAGTCAAGCAATTCAACAACACTGCTGCCTACATGATCAATTCCCTCACATCCATACCTCTGCTATCCTGGTTCAATAGAGCATCCTTAAATGACCCCACCAATTACTTTATCATTCCAACTGTAAGCAAAAGAACACATACTCATTCCCAGCACATCTGAGGAGTGGCATGGTAACATTTTATCAGCAATCATCTCCATCCTTCGCAGCCTGTTCATACTCTTACTATCCCACTCCAAACTCTTTCAGTAAATGATATGGCCTGAGAGTTCACCGAAAAAGGGAATCTAAGGCAGGATATCTAGTCATCTTCCTTTTTATCGCTAAAATATTTATCATAGATGCATTTGTCCCTTCTTCAAGGAAAATGCGAACTCTTTCTCACCTATTTATTGCATTGCATTGCCTCCTGTAACTTCATTCAACTACTTTCACCTCCTCCTTTAACTTCCAATCTCTTTTCTCTCAGCCAATGCCTTGAAACAAGCAAGTAATTATACATCATTCAACTCTCTTCAAACTTACCTGTCATCAAGTGACAGGACTGTCTTTCCTTGCCTTCAGATAAAAAACATTCTACACTAATAATTTCTCATGGATTTAACTACTCTCTCAATAGCCAGTCACAATCAGTTAACATCTGCCCTCTGCCCCCACCCTGGTTCTTAACACTAGTAGCCAGTTACAATTGAGCAGACTCTGACCCATGGCAACCACATAGCCAACGTAGTACAGGATTTTCACTGGCTGATTTTCAGAAGTAGATTACCAGGTGTGGTGTTCAAAATGGCCACCAGGGTTCCCTTGCACTGGACTACTAACCTAAAAGCTGGCAATCTGAACCCACCTAGCAGCTCTGCAGAACGTCTGACATTCTGCTTCTGTTGAAATTACAGACAAGGGGGAAAAAAAAAAAGAAAAAAAATTACAGACAAGAAATTTCTATTCTGTAATGCATGAGCTGCTATGAATTAGAACTATCTTGGCCACAACAAATAAGGTTTTAGTAATATCTTCAGATATTGTCACCTTACCAGAAAGAGACCTGGTTTAAATCCCAGTCAATACACACCATATATAGGGAGCATGCACCTGTCAGTGGAGTTTTTGCATGCTACTAGATGTTGATAATTCAGTGATACTGCTAAACTGACTAGGAAGAAAGGTCTGATAATCTACTTTGCAAAAATATGCCAGTAAAAATCCAAGAGATCACAATTATCCCTCCTATTATTATGGGGCCCTCGAATTGATGGCTGACCTGGCAGCCACTAACAAGACCATCCAATAGTTTCTCATCTTGTTTGCTAAAACACAACAGGAAACTTACTTTTCTCTAGCTAATGTTTTTTAAAAAACATCTAAACAGTAGTGTTTTACTGATAAAAGGTTTATTTTAATAAATACAAAATTACTGAGTAAAAATTGGGTCTTTAAAACAGGGTTTTCTAGTTAATTTTTTATTTAATATCATTCTCTTTTAAAATTACTTAGATATTTTTCTTTGTAGTACAATCATCACAGCTACTAATTAACCAAGTTACTTCTCACTATGCAAAGCCTAAAATAAGAGTCTTGCCCTTACCTTTTTATCTGAAGTGATAAGCTTAAATGCTTCTGTTACTTGATCAACAGTGGCACCACCACCAACATCAAGAAAGTTGGCTGGAGTTCCTCCATGAAGTTTTATTATATCCATTGTGGCCATAGCCAGACCAGCACCATTTACTATTGAGAGGGGGGAAATGGTTTGTATAAGCAACAAACACAGAGAATATAAACTATGTTTGTCCAATCAAATTCAAATTCTAAAAATATGATACCCAGACAGCCTATATTTCCATCCAGTCCAATGTAGTTGAGATTTGCTTTAGTTGCAGCTTTGTCTCTTTCATCTTCCTGGGTCCAGTCCTGTAGGTCAAAGATTTTCTTCTGGCGATAAGCCGAGTTACTATCAAAATTAATCTTTGCATCCATGCACAGCACTTTAAAGGGGAAAGAAAAGAAAGAGATCTTAACTTCAAGACAATGACAATAAACTATTCTATACTATGTAGATGACATGAAAAACATTTTTGTCATACTTAACATTAATTGAATTGTGCCTCCAAAAATACATAGATATAGTGATACAATGTAGAAGTTGCATAATAATCTCCCATAATCTGATAAACCTGAGAAGGATTAAAAGGGGGATACAGGCCTCCACAAGAAAAAGACTGATAACACAATTACAAAATGGGTAAAAGACATGCAAAGAATTTTAACAGAGGAAGATATCCAAATGGCCAACATGAAGAAATGCTCAAAATCACGGTAAATAAGAGAGATGCAAATCAAAACCACAATGAGAAACCAACTCTCTCTAGTAGCTGTGGCAAAGTTTAACAGGACAGTAAGCAATAAACATTGGAGAGGATGTGGCTAGACAGGAACTCGTATACACTCCTGGTGGAACTGTAAAATGGTGCAACCACTCTAGAAGACAGTTTGGTGTTTCCTCAGAAAGCTGAACATGGAAATTCCATATGACCCAGCTATTCCAATGCTTGGAATATACCCCAAGAAGATGAGGATTGAGACACAAATGGAGATTTGTACACCAATGTTCATAGTAGCATTATTCACTGTTTTAGACCAAGGGTAAATTATATTAGTAAGTATTAAGAACGAGACAAAACACCACCAATGTAGGAGAAAATACAGAGGTAAAGCAGGAGGTGAGCATTTCAAACAACTGAAGCACCCAACCCATCTTCCCTGTGCCTTTATTGAAAATTGCCAGGGAGCAAATCACAAAGAGAATTCAATGCAAATGAAGCTAAGCTCTTTCTATTGAAAACCTTATGGTTAACGCAAGAGGGAGGGGTTAGCAAATACAAGAATCATGTAAATGCTTAAGGTTTGCCTTAGTGTCTACCCCTATAAACATCTAAAGTCTGCCTTAGTGCTTCAGAGTGAATGAATTCCAGCTTGCATCCACTCCTCCCTCATATCCTGATATGTTGTTGTTGCTGTTGTTGTTACGTGCTGTCAAGTCACTTGCAACTCATAGTGACCCTATGTACAAGAGCCCTAAACGCTCTATCCTGTGCCAACCTCACTGTCTCCAACACACTCATTCCCACCACCCCAATCACAGAACTGATCTATCTCATCAAGGGTCTTCCTCTCCTGCACTGTCCCTCCACTCTCCCAAATATGATGTCCCTCTCCAAGGACCAGTCCCTCCTTGCAACATGCCCAAAATATGTCAGACGAAGCTTCAGAATCCTTGACTTTGGCTTCCCACAATTCACCATTTCAAGAACATAGAAAATAGCCCAAATATCCAACCACAATAGAATGGACTAAGGAATTCTGGAACATTCACATGATGGAATGCTATGCAGCATGCAGGACCAATGATTTTGAAAATCACTACCTCCCTTGGGAGGTCTGGAGAGCATTATGCTAAGTGAACCAACTCAGTCTCATAAGGACAAATACTATATATAAGACCATTATTATAGAACGAGTATGAGGATCCAAGGCAGAAAGTAGAGGGGACCTGGATGGGGGGAGGTGGTAATCACAGGGTCGAACATTTTGATAGGTGAGGAAGGAGTGGGTAAAAAAATGGGAAAAATATAGTTTGAAAAACAACGTATACGAACTTTGTTAAGTAAGCCAGTATAAAATAAAAATTTTATTTTTTTTAAAGTTGGATCTAATCCCATCACAGCCTTAGATAGAAGGGTAGATTCCCCTCAGATGTGGCCTTGAATACCTTTTATCTTACTGTACAGAGAGGGCAAGAAAACCTGGGCTCTTGTGCCACAAAGAAATAATCAAGAGTCAAGAGTAGAGTGTGTATTTTCAGCCTGGGCCCCAATGCCACAAAGTTCCTTGACTTCAGGGAAGGCCAGCTGCATGAATATCTCCAGGCAACAAAGCATCTAAAAGATGCTGAAGGACAAAAGGGCTTTCACGCACACTCAACAGAGAAGGCCTTCCTCTAAACATGCACCAATTTGAACGTCCAGCCTCTTAAGTGGTAAGAGAATGCGTTTCTATTTGTTAAAACAATCCACTTGTGATATCTCTATTAAAGCAGCACCAGAAAAACACAAAATTACTTACTGAATTCCATTTACACTTGCAATGAACTCAAACCATTTGGCAAAAAAGAAAATTTTAGAATTAAAACTGCCCCAGCAATAGAGAAAAGAAAAAAAAATTTTTAAAGTAAAAAATAACTTTCTTTTCATTATCAAGAATTAAATGTCTACGCTCTAGTCTACCTTTTATTTAGGTCCTAGATTCTATCCTCATCATCTGCTCAAAGACTTTGCTGTAACAACTGTACCTACCTGTTTTCTATATCTCACATCTGTTGGCTAAATCTACAAATGCAGAATGTCGACATTCTCTATCTACAATTTACCCCAGATCTGAAAATCTCTTTGCCTTCGGGGGGGGGGGGGGGGAAGGAAGGACTCTGATCACCCAGCTGGTAGGGAGTTGTGCCACTAAAGGCCACATCTTTGTAGGGGTTCGAATCTACCAGTAACTCCAAGGAAGATGTGATTTATAGCCTCCTAAAGAATTTAGACTATCAAAACTTTATCATACTTGGATCCACAATTAATACACTTGGGAGCAGATCAAGAGACGTACTGTACTCAGAAATTGAGGAGCAAAGATGTTAAGTCTGAGGACTAAGCTGTGCCTTATTCAGGCCATGGTCTTTTCAGTCATTTACTATGACAATGAGAGCTGGACAATGAATAAAAATGTTAGAAGAATTATTTTTTTATTCATTATTTTTTATGCAACATATATAATTTTTTACAGCATATTCTTTCCATTTAATTTTTCCCCCGTTCATTCACTGTTGTACCTTTTCCTCCCTGCCTACCCCTCCCCCCAGTTCGTTTTTCTCTTTGAAGAAAAAAAAATTCTTTCATTGTTATACAATCCTCTCAGTCCACAGTCCACTTTAATATGCATTTCTTTTTCTGTAATTTTGTCATGAAAATAATACCTAATCCTCTATTCCTTTTAAACAGTTCTCTCCCTCATCTGTTTCAATACAGTATACATTATTTATCCCTCTTTTCTTAGGTTGCCCCCAACCCCGATGTCAGTCCTGTTTTACAACAGTGGCACTATCAGTATTTGTCCTTTTGTGACTGAGATACTTCACTCAGTATTATGTCCTCCATGGCCACTCATTTTGTGTAATATTTCATGAGTTCCTTGTTTTTCAATGCAGCAAAGTATTCCATTGTGTGAATATACCACAGCTTCTCTATCCATTCATTTGTTGATGGGCACTTGGGTTGTTTCCAACTCCTTGGTCTTGTAAACAAAGCCACAGTAAACATGGGTACGCATGAAGAATTACTGATGCCTTTGGAGTGTGGTGTTGGACAAGAGTATTGAATAGCCCATGGACTGCCAAAAGAATATGTCATAGAGAAGGTGCAGCCTGATTGCTCCTTGGAGGCAAAGATGATGCAGCTTTGTCTCACATACTTTGAGCTAGGAAGGGCTATTCCTTGGAGAGAGATGTCATGCTTGGGAAGGTAGAGAGGCAGCAAATGAGAGGAAGACCTTCAGCCAGGGTGGTTGACACAGTGAATGCAGCAATAGGTGATTGTGAGGATGGTACAGGCTAAGACAGTGTTCAGACTGGTTATTCAGTCACTCATAGAGTGACTATGAGTTGTACTCGACGGCACCTAACAACAACAAAAAAGTACCTGGAGGGTCAGGTATAAGTCAGTTGTTCAAACTTGATGACAATGAGTTTACATTTTTTAGTTTGTTTGCCTTCTGAAAATATCCTGTGAACATCTGAGGAGCATTTCAAAGTTGTGAGTAAAAAAGTAAGCTACTCAGATTCTCTCTCAGAATTTTCCCCCATTTCAGCAAACAGTAGCTTATTCCAGTTGCTCAGAATAAGATAAGATTTCATCCTGGAGTTCTTTCTTTTTACACTCAACATCTAATATAATACATCAGCAAAACTTACTGGTTGTTCTTTCTAAATACATCCTGAATGCTACGTCTAAGTATTTCCATTCCAGGAAACCATATTTTCACTAGGATTTTACTATTATCCTTATTTCTTTTCCTCTTCAATCTATTCTCTAAACCATCAAGGGGATCCTATCAAAAGCAAACTCTGACCATATATTGTAGCTCCAAAGCCTCCAGGTCTTCTCAGCCCAGTTCTTACTAAATGCTACAAAGTCTTACAGACTATACCACCCTTCTTAACACAATTACTTCTGACTTCATCTTTCAGTACTTCATTCCTTCCTTACAACAACAATCTTCTTCAATGCTCCTAAACAAGTAGAAGGCTGAAAGAATTGAGCAGTTTCAGCTGCTGCCCAACACAAGACAGAGTTTAGAGTCCAGCTAAATCAATAATAGAAAAATTTAATATTTCTCAAGGGAATCTAACAGAATTCAGTCTCAGTCAGTAGATTTTTCCAATCAATTGCTATGCATCTGAGAGCTGGACAATGAATAAGGATAAAAAAGGAATCAATGCGTTTGAGTTGAGGTGTTGGGAAATACTGAACAACACAGGGACTGCTAAACAACATATAGGTATGTCTTGGGAAAAGTGCAACCACAGTGCACTTTCTGACCCTCTACCTTTTGCAGCATGTCTCTTTGCAAGGCCTCATTCCTCCCGAAAATATGCCCAAAGGTAGAGAGGAAGTTTCATCATTCTTGCCTCTGAGAAGCACTCTGCTTGCACTTCTTTCAAGACAGATGTGTTTCCCAAGAAGGATAAGCACAATAAAAATCACACCAGTCTGATAATGGCACAAATTAAAAAATGAAAGACACAAAGAAAATCTTGAAAGAATCCAAAGAAAGAAGTAAACATTCAGTTGAAAACTAACTCTTCAACAAAAACAGAAGAGTCAGAAGGCAACAGACCAGTATCTCTAAAGTGATGAAAACTAAAAGAAAAAAAAGT